CGCAGAATCTACAGCCAGAAGAAAAATTTCCCAACTGGAAAGGGCTGTTACCTATGTGCGTGAGGAAAACTTTGTCCGGAACCTCCGTGGATGACCCTTGGGTTCCCAACACAATCTGGAGTGTAAAGCAGTTGTGAATATGCGTTCGCATTCAAAATCAAACTCAGGACTCTTCCATGGCTGTTCGTCACTATCTTCGTCGTGTGCCATTTGGTATGTCTCAACACAATTCCCTGTTGACCGTGACTAGCTTTGTCATTGTTTCTTGCAACTTGGTAGGAAAACTCCCTTCTACCCCCAGTACTGAGTATTGCCAACATAGCCAACAACAACGAACATTATGTCGATTTTCGAGAACTACTCAAACCACAACTTTGGAAATACCAGCTGGCCTCCACTAGCCTTTGCACTTTACTCTGGTGTCTTTCTTGGTTACCATACTAGATATGCCCTAGCACAATCCCGAAACCCCCTTCCACCAAGCCCGCGCAACCCCAGTCCCCAGTCCGCTTTCTCTGCACTCCAATCTTCTGCGGCAGGGCCAGTGCGGCCAGCGAGCCGGATCTTTTCTTCAACTTGAGGTCCGTGGTGAACAGCGCAGCCAAGGATTTAAGCATGGAAGCGCCAAACATCGCCAAACCAGCTTGCCCCCGCTCATGCACGCCTAAATAAGCTGCAAACCTCCCAGCTTGAAAACGCCTTCTCATTCCGAAGCTGACCAACGTGCAAGAAAAAAACGCGCACCACGCACGCAAAATTGGTCTTAAGACCGGGACACTCTTCATACTTCTGCAAGGCCACGGTCAAGTCCTCGGAGCTTCAGTGTGCTGCGACTTTCCTACACAGCATCTACAGTATTCGGGCTGAAGACATATGCACGTGTATATATATATATATATATGTCTAGAGTGGAGATCGGTCTGTTGCAGACCCGAGCTGGAAAATTGTGAAAAGTGAAATTGCTGTCAACCATCCATAGATCTGCAAGGAAAGGCAAGCTTCCCGAAAGCTATCTCAAACAATTTGCAAGACGGCCGCAGGCTGATGCAGCAAAGTCTTGGATGTGGTAGTGAGATGAGTATGAATCCACAGCCCCGCTTTTCCTCAGGTATGATGTCGTCTAAACGCAAGGAGACAAAGCACGGCCCATAAATTTCGCCGCCCAGTTGCAGCTTTTCATGTGGACTGTCGCGTGCTGTTAGTGCCCCACCAGCGCTTTCCAAAAGCAAGCCAGAACGGGTCTGTTCAGCTGCGCCAGGAACGCTTTTTGGATCGAGACTGTTGGCAGCTTGCGACTTCTCACACTGATTGCTTGTATGGCTAGAGCTTTTTCATGAATCACATTAAAGTTGTTGCCGTGTTTGTTGGAGTGTTTGCGTTGTATCTGTGAGGGCACTTTCAACTTCCGTCAAGAACTACATTCATTATGATCTTTGAACCATTGCCACCTTTGATGATTGTCCTGTGTTAATGCAGCCTGGGGAGTATTGGAACACGTTTTTGCTTTTCTCGCGCAACCCTTGCAGAACTGTCAGCACCATGCTGGGACATCCCTTGCTCGACAAAGCCGATCAATGTGTACCTGTGCATACGTTCCAATGCAATCCCATCTCCCTACAATCCGACTGACTCAACCTTGACTGCGGACCCGGACCAAGCACAGCTACGAGAACCCTCAGGAGCCAGCACCGGCGCGGTCTCGCTCGATTGCCTGTGAGATGTTGCTGCATGGTGCCCTTTCTTGGCTGGATTGCTTCTTGTGCCACGCACATGAACGCCCCTGTACCTGGCAAACCTTACCTCTGGGCAACTCTGTGTTCAAATGTGCCGCATGTACCCAAGCCTGAGCCCTGCTGGCTCAGGTTCGATCTTGGCTTCTGAGTGAGGTTGATGACTCATGAAAAGCTTCTGTCACGGACAGCCCTTGACGAGCATCTGTTGAGTGTTTGATGTTATGGTAGGTCGCTTGGCACCACAAGGCCCAGCGTCCCAACAACACCTAAACAGGCTGTACTAAACAGGCTCCAAGCAGGATTCGTCCCGAACTTGCAGCAACTTGCCGGCGGCCTCGCTCTCGATGACAGATGCAGCCACGACGAGGCTTTTGCATACATCCTGGACTTTGCAGCTTGCAGCCGGCTGTAAGTGCACAATCCGTTCTGCATGTCCGGGCTCTACTGCTGCAAGTATTGCAAGCGCTGCCGATGCTGATGCGCTTCCGCTTCTGCTACCTAGCTGGATGTTGTAAGCGGTGTTGCACGAGCGCTGTAGCCGAAAACACAATGTCGAAAGTCTGAAACATTGTACGCATCTTCAACAACTGTGCGGTCACGGGAATGTAACATACACCCATGTAACAATGTAGTATGTAAAACGAAAGACTGCGATTCTGTGCAGTGCTGCAGTAGTGCCTCGGCTGCCATCGCGCCTGGCTCCAGAGGGACCGGAGGCCGGGGTCCCAAGGGTATTGCTGTTGCAACCGCAGTAAAGTTCCAACACAGATGCCTTCCAGTGGTCCCCATATGTCATGAGCATCCAACTAACATCAGGGATGCAACAATATGTCCAAATTTTGTGCAAGCAAAGTCCCTGTCACAAGAAGCGGGAGATCCACGCAGTATGTCGAAGCGACGGAAGATGCTTGGGAAATGGTATGTACCGTCAAATCTGGAAGTAAAATGGCAGTGAATGCATGCCTGCCATTCATGCGCATGCAGGGAACAGACCGTATTCGTGTTTGCGGCCCTGTCCAGGTGTGTTTAGCGTCTGTAATGTATCCATGCCCTTATCCAGAGTCCAGAGGCGATGTTCGTCTTCGAGGCAATCCCAATGTGGATCATGTGGCTCATGTGGCTTTCAATTTTTGTCCAAATATTGGCGACCCATCGTGGAAAAGCTGGCCACGTTCAATGTTCAAGTACTCAATTTAGAGACATCTAGTTTTGCACCAAACCTATGGCACGTACGCCTTCCGCAGAGAAACCACAGACAGCTTGAACTCACTGAAGTCAGAAACTGAAACCTAGACCCGGTGACTTTATCTACTCCAAGTCGCACGAACAGCAGCCAAAGGGATCCACGGTTGTCAACAGTTCATCAACGCTCATAGTTACTCAAATTGAAATTAAACCTGACCGCGAACAGCATCATGGACTCCATTCACAAGTTAGCACAGTCTCAATCTCGTAAACTGTCACACGCTCTATGACGCTAATCTTCCACTATGCGGGCTGCTGTGAAGTTCACGGCTTCTTTAGGTTTGCTAACGTTGTGCTACTTTGTTCTTCGTCCTTTCAAGATCTTTGCAGAGTCAACTCTTTGAGCTCCTCACTTGTAGTAATTAGTCCTTGCTTCATGCTCAGGATCCGCAGCTCCTTCGCTGCCTTGGAGACAGGCTTCGCAAGGGCGCTTACTGTCTAAGTGCTCTACATGTGATCGGGTATGTGTATATATGTGCCAGTCCGCGCTCACATCTGCGTTAAGATCCGCGTCCTTGATGAACGCGCTTGCGCTCATCATGGCTACGCGTTTGCATCATGGTCGCTTGTGGCGTTTGCTGGACAAGGGTTTGCTTGCTATCGAATTTGGTGATCACACCTCACACGTTGCAAGATCCTCCCTCCCTCGTCCCTCCGCATGCCACCTCAATGGCGCCTTGAGGTGGGGCAGGGAGCCTTCCTTTGGAGGGGCACATTCCCATGCTCGGTTTGTACCTGAGGGTGTTGGTAAGACCAGCTTTGGGCAAAGTGCAGACTGACAATGTATGTGACTCGTGACCCTTGCCCTGCCTTTCAACCCCTGACCTTGAGTGAGCGTCTCCAGAAAGGGTCACATTTTGGCGGCTAACTACGGCTTTAGGTTGAATGCAACTTTGAGTGCCTTCCCTCAATAAAATAAATACATTCCCAGTGCGCCTTGGCAATCTGTCGCTGGAGGCAATTGGAGGATAAGGCCAACTAAGCTGGAAGCTAAAATGTGTGCTGTTCGTCGAACGCCTAGGGATGTTCTCGCCATCCAGAAAAATGTGAGACGCCCAGCACAAGCTTCTCCTGGAGTACTGCTTCTAAAGCAACATGATCAGCTAGGATCCAAGAATCTGCTCCTGGAAGTTGCTCGTTCATCATGTTGCTGTGCAAAGAGCTTGAGCAGCAGATTTAGACTGATTCAATAAGTGTTTTACGGTGTTGTCACTTGACACGTGTCAAGATTCCTGCCCTCGTAAGATTTGTAAGCAGAATTTATGACGCACACACTTATAATTCTCGATGACTGGTCCCATTCAGCATCTGTGTGGAAGCTCCCACCCAGCGCGACAGTTCTCACGGGCTGTAGAGCTTCCCTAGATATACCAATCTACCAGTCTGCTCGAGAAGGGCTAATCCACCAATCCACAAGTTCCTCAGCGCGGCTTTGGCCACGGTCTCATTCCTCTAGTTCAGATCACCCATGCGGCATGGCTTGTGCACTTGCACGTACATGCTGCTTAAACCTGAAGATTGCGGGCTTTTCGTCCATCCAGAACCTTGAGCCCCATAGGCTGACACTTGGTTGTCGATCACATATGGCCCCAGAAGGCGTGGGCATCGCAGGGCCGGTGCAGCGAAAATGACTCAGCATTTGACAACGTTGTCAGCCGGCATTGAGCATTGAATTTGGCAGGTGTTCTGCCCGTACAGTAGGTCTCCTGACAAGATCCGGCGATGGGCATGGCGGGCTGCAGCATTGCCCCAGCCTCAAGCGAATGGAATAGCGCAAGGGCCCGTGGTCTGAGATGACAACCCATAGCTGTTGGTGACATGTTGCTGGCAACGCAAACCAGCTGTTGCCTGGCTGCTCTCCCAAATGTGGGCGACCTGGATGTCACGACGCTTGCCCGTGCCAACATGAATCTGAGGTTGGTCGCGTGTAAGCATGGTCCGAATGCACTTTGCTCGTGTGCGCCTTCGCTTTCTGACATGTTGTCTGTTTGGGAACTGCCCTATTTGCCATGCCGCCTAAACCTAGACGTCCAAGGGCTCGTCCAATTCGTCTGCCACGAGGTCCCGGTCTGACATGGTGAAATGCCTTTGTGGGGTGACGTAGTGGGGGTTGTCGAAGATAAGCTCACCGTCCCAATTCGGAATGCGGCCCCAGGGGCTCCAGTTGTAGCAGCCCAACTCCAAAATCCGGTGAAAATGTCCAACGTCGACACCTGTCTGGTCCGCATCGCCTCGAGCACCTCGAAGATGCTCTCGGAGACACTGCTTGTTTGGAGCATACGGCAAGTCGTAAATCAGAATCCAGGACTGAAATCTTGCTGCGATTTCTTGATGAATCTCCGGCGAATGTGTGCCAATGACAACACGGTACACCTTGCTGTTAATGGCTTGAAACGTGGTGGGGTCTTCCAAGAGATCTATCTCCGCTCCCTGCACATCCATGTCCAGCAAGTCCACATGGTCCTGTTCCCGGATCCAAGCAGCCAACCCCTCACTGGAGGCCTTGACGCACTCTAAGGAGTAGTTGAGCTTGTTTAAAGCCATCACGTCAGCCAGCTCACCGCAGTATCTGGGATCGGACTCCACGAAATGCAGAGCATAAGGCCTCCAGGGACAGTGGCAAGCTTACTCGGAGTCTCCCTCATTGAATACCTGTAAGATCTCTACACATAAAGACATCCAAAGAGGTACCCCCGGCATGGGGTTCAGCGTTGCCAGGGCCGCTGCCGCTCTGGCTCCCCAGGTTCCCCAGCGAGCGCCCAGCTCAGCCATGACGAAGGAACGGCGAGCACGCAACACCTGAAACATCTGCGTGGTTGTCGGAACTTTATTTGAAAGTGCTTCGTAGGCTCATTGCGGTATTCTGATCGGAATCTCCTTGCACGCACCATTGGATCAATTGTGTCTCAAGTATCCTCATTTTGGGGCCAACACTGAAGAATGCTTGTGCCTGGAACTTGCGCATAAAGCAGCAATCACGAACACAAAGGTCCAGGAAATGTGTCTGTCACATCTAAGGACAGGTGCTCCATGAGCCGGGGAACAGACTGGTAAACAGCCACGTGCTCGCTGTACTCCTCATCGATGATGGGCAAGGGTGGCTGGACGATTGGCAAGCCAGCTTGAATGTGTGCCTGGGACATCCGACTTTGCAGCTTTGGGCTCACCCGAACACTGCATAGCTGAGATGGCAAGGATGTTGCCGGCAACACACGGGACAGCGATGGGACTTCTGGTCAAGGTAAGATCTACAAACCCACCTGTGGACCTAGGCATGTTCCTCGACACCTTCGTTCGCGACTCCTCTTTGTAACCCCAAATCGCAAACTCTTTTCACAACCTCTCAGCTCCTCTCACGACCTTCCCAGGACCTCTTCTCATCACCTCTCCGGGCCCCGCCTTGGAGACACGACCTCTCTCAAGACCTCTTCTTGCAGCCTCCTTCAGATAATTACTTCTCTCAGCGACAGGGTCCAAAATGAGTCCAAAACGACGACTGTCACGAGGATCAGATCATGGCCCTGACCCCCATCCATTTAAGGGCTGTCCAATATTCCTTCATCTCGAATTGGGGGCTTGCGCCCTGCTTGCGCACGCACAGTTTGGCTCATAAAGGTTTTCGCGCAGGCTCATCACGCTAAAACTATAAATACCATGAGCGTTCTTCGAACCCTTGCGCCGCGCCTGCGCACGCAGGGTTTCTGACAAATTATGTTATACATGGTTCTCGTTGATCTAGACTTGTAGACAAGAGTTTTCGGACATCCCTCATTGGTTGTTTGGCATCTTTGACACTCACCCACTCACTTTCTCAAAGGCTTTGAGGTATCGTGGCTGTCCATGTCTGGCTGTGACACCCATTTTGACACATGACAGCGCATGAGGAACGCAACCACAGCAATCCTTGGGACGTCTAGCACTGTTGACACGCGATGACATGCGACGAAGCTGAATTGCTGAGAGTCCGAAAGCGATGACCGACTCTCGACACCCTCCAACCTGCCTGCGACACAACGAATGCTTGTGAGCGCTTCACGAACACCAATGCACCAACGCACGGATTCTGGTCAACTCCTGACACCCAGATCCCCAACTGCTTCTGCTACGCATTCACACAGAGTAGTTATGCCTTGCAAAACCCTTGCCTCATGCAAGTAGCAGTTGGTCCAGCGACCCGGCGACGCATAGAAGTAGTTCATGCACCCATATTCCTCGGTAGGGTAGGAAGAACTGAACAATTGGCCGCCCAAACTCAGAGATCAAAAAGGAGAGAGTGGCAGCACGCCAGCAAGAAGACGTTGGACAGTGCTGCAAGCCAAACTACGAAATCCTTCCTTCTGCACCTCTGGTCTTCCTAAATGATATTCCCCGGACAGCGACCCCTCAATGCTCGACCAACCAGTTACCCGCGGGTGGATGGAACAGTTTCCACCTTGCCTGGCGGTCTGATGTGGTCGATCTGCAGCGTTTACAAATGGGGGTAAAGGAGCTGGGAGTCGACAGTTCTGTTCGGTGCAGGCTTCTTCGACCTACACACCACAAGCGGACAGCCATGTCAAGCACATTCAAGCACAACATCTTTTGAATCGCCGCGAAGCGCATCACTTGTGAACCTTCAGCCAGTTCACGACTTCCCATTGAGATCTGTCCCTGTTCTTAATGTACCTTATGATGACAACCAATAAACTTTGCTGAGGCGCATTCCAATGGGCCGAGCGGTTCCGGTCGCAGTCCAGGTGAGCAGGAACCCTGAGCAGGAATCGTCGGCGGATTCTCTCAAGTACATAGACCCTCAACTCGCTTGACTGCTTGATAAACTCCTGCCTCAAGCCGCCCAGCTCAACCACAAAACCCTCACTGAGCGGGTAGAACAGGTCTGGAAACCTGACTAATTAGAGGATGGTGGAGGTTGAAGGGTCCAAGGCTTAGACCCTTCAATCTTTAGGCCGGACACTTTTCTGTTATTCATTTTTTTAATCTAGCTTAAGCTGCCTTAAACTTGGGCATGCCATGAAGTGCAATCCATGATGTTGGACCTTGCTTGTAGACGAGGCCCTCTGTAATTTGTTATGGGGCCCCTTTTTAAGTGATCAGGGGCAATGATAGAAGGTCCTCTATGATGTGTTTGGATTTTGGAATTCTAGCAGAACCCAAAGCTTTCCCCAATGCCCTCAGAATTTGCAGGAGGTTGAAGGGCCATAAAACAAACAGAAAGAACTGTTGTGGCGTGTAGAATATGATAGATAGAAGTAGACGAAATAAGCCTTGTCATACTGTTTCTACTCGTGGTTTATACTATATTACGTCACATCAGTCCTTTCTATACTTTCGTGCGTGCTTCCTTGCAAAGATCATGTTCTAAAACAAGGCCTTGGTTTTAGAACGAAAGGTGTGTAAATTCGATCAACATCTTCTGTCTAAAGAGGTCCCTGATTTCCATTGCGGAGGCATATTGTTGTGCTTGTGGGGCCCAAGATTAATGTTGGTTGACTTACATACCAACACCAGCTTTGAAAAACCACTCCGAGGAGCTGCATCAAGACAGGATGATGCGGGTAAGAGAGGCCCTCCAGGATATTCACCGCATGCAGACGGCCGGCCATAGCACCACTGACAAGCACAGCGCGCGGCTCTGATGATCTATCTGCATCGTCTACCTTCTCAACATTGAAGGAATGGTAACCATCCTCCTCGTCACAATATTATCAGTAGCACTATGATAGTCCGAGTAGTAGAAATAAGCTGAAATAAGCTGCATCATCTTCGTCGGTAGCAGAAGAAGTTGTCGTCCTAGAGGAAATTGCAGGAGATAAACACATGAAATTGTAAAATGAACAGGCACAGCAAGGTCGGCAACGGCAAGCAATATACTCGGAAGCCTACAATCTCCGCGCAATCAGAAAGTTTGAAGCGTCGCTGGCACACATCCCCAGCACAAGCTGCTAGGAGGCCAACATCAACACAGACAAGCAATAAAACTAGTTTTTGAGACTGCTTTAACACTGGAAAAACCGCTATTCATGAGGCTTGGACGCAACTGCCGCCCCAACCCCGGATTCGGGAACAATGCGACGCGTATCTCACAAGCTATTCGTAACCTGAAAAATATGGAGTTTTCCACGGCCGAACGCACACCGGTTGTCGACTACTATTCTTCCTCTACTATTAGTACTACTACTTCTCCTCCTACCCCTGCTCCTACTCTTACTTCTACTCATCCTCCTCCTCCTCCTGCTGCTGCTCCTGTTCATGCTATTATATTACCACTACTACTACTACTACTACTACTGCTACAACAACAACAACTACTACTACTACTACCACTACTACCACTACTCCGACGACGACGACGACTACTACTACTACTACTATTACTACTACTACTTCTTCTTCTTCTCGTACTACTAGTCCTAGTACTAGTACTAGTACTAGTACTAGTACTAGTACTACATCACCAGGAATAAAGTTTCGTCGCATTTTTTTCATTTCATGTTGCGGAGGAGGCGGAGTTCGCCAAAGCGCGTTTTTGCTGGCCTGGCCAGCGGAGGAATTAATCCACCGGAAT